GAGCCTCCGGCATGGAGTAGAACAATTGAAATTGCACTGGGGTTGCTGTAGCATGAATGGGGAAGTAACGTTTTTTTTCTTTTTTTTTCTGCTGTGATTGAGATTGAGCCCTGCTATATGTAAGTTTTTTTCACAAAAGTTTCGGGGGCTTTAAGTTATCCACTCAGCAAAAGAACTTTGCATAAGCAACAGCTGCGCGCATCCAAATTCATAGCAGGCAGTTGCAACTGTCAGAAAGTTCTTATTTCTTCTTTTTTTCCTGATGTAAGCCACAGGCAACAAAGCTGGGGATATACCAACGTAATATGGCACATATATGGGGTATGGAGTACGTAGTATCAGGCTACATACAGCGAGCAGCTGACAAAGCCAAGCCAAAACTTAGAGGCATATAGCCTCTCCTTATATAAGTTAGACTATTATTTGAAACGAACAACTTTTTCAAAGTATTAGGCATATCATTTTAAATATGATTAATTTGAAATATATAAACTTGTAATTTTTATTTAATTTTTTTTTAAATTCTGAATCCATACAGCAATTTTACATATATATTTAGTTATGTTTCTTTTATTTATTGAGCATAGTTCAACTCCATCAAATGTTTTGTTATGCATATGTGTACGAATAGAGGAGCCTAACTAAGTAGGGCAGAGTATTTCTAGCTGAAGCACTCACTGCCTTGTCTCAGTTACATACATATAGCAAAGACTAACTATTGTTGAGCCAACTTAAATGCAAGTTGGCAGCTAGAAGCGAATGCGCTCCAAGTTATGCTACAACAACAACAGCAGTAACTTGAATTCATAATGACTTGGCAAAATGATTTGCAATTAAAATGTGAGCATACACAAAATAGCATTTTGCATCTGCGAACAAAAATCAAAGTCATGCGACGTTTTTGGCCATAAGCTCTAAATTTGCATAACCACATGGCAGAGCTAAGTGAAGGGCGGAAGCGGGCGGGCTAAGACTACCACTACACCTGCTGCTGCTGCTGCTGCTGCAGACTGTATAGACTCTACATAATTAAAATGCTGCAAAATTATACATTAAATGGCCAAAACTTGGCAACATCCGACGGCCAAACAATGGCCCCAAAACAGCTGCCAGCGCGTTGCACCTGGACAAGGCCAATGCATTGGCCAACAGCAGCAACAACAACAACAACAGCAACAGGAAGACAACGTCGAGTGCTTGGCCGGGCTTGGCTAACCAAGCCAACGAGCAACTTCCTGTTTTACAGTTTTAAGCTGCCGGTAAACTCATACATGCTCACACACGCACACTCACACACACACACACGCCTGACTTCGCTTATGCATACTTATGCATATTCACGTCAGTGATGAACCATCTTACTTAATTTGGATGACAGCTGCCAGGAGAGAGTCCTTTGGCTTCCTTCTTATATATGTGTATGCAAAAATCAAAATATTTGCTGAATATTATTTTGTAATTGTGCAAATCTGTCTTGTAGTTCTCAAATAAGAAGCATAACCAAACAATATTAAGAAAAAATCGTTTTCAAGAAAAAAAAATAAATAATGAATTTAAATATAAAATTAGTCACCATAAAATATTTAACAAAAATCTGAATTAAACAATAAATGAAACCTGTGGAGAATAAGAACCGCAAACAAAAAATTTTAATACGTAAAATATGTACAATGAATTTTATTTTATAACTCCTCTTTTTTTTGCTTTTTATAAATTTAGACAATTTATTTTTATACAAAATACTGATTATGATTTAAAAAAAAACCCAAGATAAATATTAATATTTAATTATTAATAGTTATATTTATTTATATAATGTTATATTTATTGATGTAAAATTATATACATTTTCAATAAGAATTTATTTCACTTGTATCATGCTTACCTCTTCTTGTTACAAGTATTTTATAATAAATATTAAATTTCAATATTTATGTATCCATATTTTTTATGATTTAATAAAACTATAATAACAAAACTAAAATAACGAATATAAAAAAAAAGTACTAATGAATATTTAATATTATTTCCATACTTAATGTCAAATTTCCTTTTTAAGAACTTTCACCACATGCTTAAACCTTGGTAATTTGCTCAGCTAGGCACGCACGCATCTCTATTAAGTACGCACACTCATGCACACAGTTACAAACACACACACACACAGGCACACACCCGAACGGAGGTTGCATTAATTTTGCGCAATGCGCTTCGTGTTGCCAACTCGGAACTGTAAAGCTTTTTGGTAAATGTTACGAAAATGTTTGCCGTGCAGCCGTCTAAAATGGCAAACGATGCCACAAAATCAGGTTTTTGGGTTAAACGCCAACGTTTTTGTTGACATTCAAATTTGCATAGCCAAAATGTTGCGAGGACGAGAGACGAAACGTTTTGCTGCTGTCATATTTGATGTGCTCAAACCGAATGCGGAAGTGAGCGCACTGTGTGTGTGTGCGTGTGCGTGTGTATGTGTGTGAGTGTGTTAACTGCTTTTAAATTTGTTTTAATTACAGCCCGATTGCACATTGTTGCAGCTCGTAGCGTTCAGCTGGCAGCGGCCTATAAAATATTCAGCATATTTTTAAGTGCTCGGGCGCGAAAAACGCGCTGATCCTAAAAGTATGCAACGGGCATTGCTGAGCGAATAATAAGAGTAAAAGGAAAACTACAACACTACAAGGGAGAGAACAAAATGAAAATGGAACCAAGTCACTTTTGGTCACTTTGCACAAATATGCCAAAGAAAATTGCAAAATGCCTTTGCACATTTTTTCAGCTCCTCCAGCGCAGCCCAGTTAAGTCCACCGCCAACTCGCAGTGTCCCGCCGAACCGCAACATAAACAGCTGTTTCCGCTAAGTGTAGCTGCCGGAAATGACAATGGCCTGTGTGTAGTTGCTTCCTTGATGGCAATGGCAATGGCATGCCGGACAACTGGACACGTTTGGCCAGTGTGCACTGGCCAACTTCAACAGCAGTTTGCTGGCATCGTCAAGGCAACAAACTGCAGCAACAACAACAGCAACTACAACAAAGATGTGAAGCATAAGGACATTGGCATTTTCTCCTTCATCCTCGCCGACACTGTGCAAAGTGGTGTCAAATGTCAAAGGCACTCGCCTGAATTGTCAAGTAGCTTTTCACACAATTTTCACCTTAAAACAACAAATAAATAAAAATGTGAAGCGTAACTGGTATAGAAATTTGTATATTTATAGATTATATTTATTATATATTTCTTATAAATTATTTTGTAATTTTAAATATTGTCAGTTCTGTAATTGTAGCTAAAGTTGTAGAAAAATTGTAATATAATATATGAATAAAAATATACAAACAACTTTATTGGGTAGTTCATAAATCCATTAGAGTAGAGTTTCACAAACATAATTTGGCCTATTTCTGGCTAGATTAAGCCAAAATGAGTTTAGATGGAACAATCTGAAATTGAGGCAGACTAGGCACAAGTTCTAGTCCAGTTAAGAGCACTATCCACTAGAAGAAAAGACAGTTTAAGCCATCGGATACATATTAATGTACCCAAGTTATTTATTATATATCTTATCAATCATTTATTTTCTTGAGCAGCGTAATTCTATCTGTATATCTGTCTCTCTGTTTGTCTCACTCTCCATCTCACAGTCTGTCTCTCTATCTTTCAAAGATAGATACTGAAGATCATTTAAGTTGTCATCTTTCGGCATTTCTATTGCAGTAAACGCTAGAGTGCTCATAGCAGAGAGACAGAGAGATCTCCTATTGGTCACTTACAGCTCGACTGCATCCTCGACCTCCTCTTGGTGCGCTACATTTGAGCGCCACCTAGTGTATGAGTAGAAGTCGCCCTATAAAAAGGGCGGCAGCTGCAGCATTTCTTCAGTCGCTCAGACCTAGTGGGACTCAGTGCCGTGAGGTGAAAGGAATAGTGTGATCGTTCAGCTAAGCATTCAAGACTTGGAGAATATACTTGATATTTCCTTAGAGAAAATTGAGACAATATGAAAAGAATATAATGGAAAAACTCAAAGAAAATGCTTGGATAGAATGCATTTTCGCAAATGTGCTTTATAATTATAAGTTACAAAATTGTTACTTATATAAATGTAGCTAAACTTGTAATAAAACAGACATTTTTCAGCGAAAATCAGTGTAAAGAGACGAAATTAAATAATAGTTTATAATACTAAACTAGCTTAAGTTAATGATCGACATTCCAAATATTTGTTAACTTTGCAAATATTGAAATTTTATTTATTTTCTTTTGATCAAATAAAATATACACTGGCATTCACCTTAAGCTTATCAGCTTGTTATGTTGTTGTTGTCACTTGTATTATTACACATAACCAAATGTTTATAGAAACGCAAGCATGACTAACTAAAGCTCAATTAGAAGAGAGAGAAAGAGAGTGAGAGTGTGAGTGAGGCTCTTATTCAATTGGGGATCGCATTGCGTATGGTGAGTCGATCGAGAGAAATGTTTGTTTATAATGAACACATCAACGAGTAAGAAAACACCAGCAGCAACATCGGCAGACGCAACAAGTTGCCCCAGTTGCGTGTGGCACAGACAGCCCTAAGACCTTGCCGCCACCCCCAAAAGCCGGCCGTCTAATTTTAACAACGAAAATCAAGCGAAAACAGTTTCTGTATGTAAATAAACGCGCAACAATATCTAAAATGTTGGCCCTTTGGCTCACCAAGAGAGACAGATAGAGAGAGGGAGAGAGGGAGAGCGTACAAAATAAATAATGAAACCATTTCGAAACTTGACGAAGAATCTGCAGAAAGTTTTCGTTTTCGTTCACGTTCTCGATTTCGAAAATAGCATTTAGAATATTGAAGGAATTAGTTTTGAAGACTGTGTCAGTCGCTGCCCAAACGCGAGGCGACGCGCTGCGACGTCCGAGCGAGCCGAACCAACCCAACTATATAAAAATAAATCGCGTCTAAGAAAAAAAAAAATCAACAAAAAAGAAAAAGAAGAGCAATAAGAAAAAAATAAATAGCAATCGGTGCCAAAAATTTCAAAATTAGAGTCGAATAACGTAATGTGTGTGTGTGGCTGTGTGCCGCTTGTTGTGTTGTAAATAAATGAGACAAATGTTAATGCAAATCTATAGCGAAGCCATATAGATAATACTAGATAAATCTCGGGAAACATGTCCACAGTCAGCGCTGGGCGCAAGAACAGCGCCCAGATAGAGGTTATGCAGAAAGCTGGCTGGAAGATCGATGAGAATGAGAAAGGTGAAGCGATAAGCATAAAATGTCAACACGATGACAACTCTCGCTGTCTCTTTCTGTCTGATTCTGTCTCTCTCTCTCTCTCTCTCTGTTGTACAGCCTGCTATATAGATATAGAGGAGGATGACGATGCGAATGCCAACGAGAAACTGGATGAATCGCAGCGCGTTTACTCCCGCTGGTCCGAACTGCCCAATCTGATATTGGAGGAAATATTCACGTACCTCACGCCCAAAGAGCGCTACTACGCCAGTCTGGTAAGTGGCCTCCGGCGCAAGCTGCTGTCACAGCTCACTCCCCCCACTGACTGCCCCCTCAGGTCTGCCGGCAATGGTACAGCGCCTTCTATCTGCCCACCGTGTGGAGCAATTTCGTGGTCGACGATCGCACGCTCACGCGACCCAAGTACAACTACTACTCGGGCTGGCAATATTGCCTGGACCACATGCGCACCCAGAACTGCTTGGCTCGCATCGGCAAGCATCTGAGAGGCATCGAGTTCCGGCCCTGGCACAGCTTCAATAACATCTATCAGTTTATGACGATGCTGTCATGGAGCATAGACAAGGTAAACAAGCGTAGAATTCGGCCTGGACTCTGAACGAAAATGTAATATGAATCTCAGATGTAGTGGAATTCGATTGGCCAGAGAAGCCTTTCTGGTAGCTGAATAGTTTCTTTAGCCAAGCTAAGCCCAAGTCTCGATTAATTTGCAGGGCCTGGAGCAGCATCCGCAGTCCGAATTGATTGGCATGGGTCAGCGCATACGATCGCTGGTCTACCATTTCCCCTGCAACATGTCGCAGCCCAACGACCCCGAGGGCATCAAGCTGTTCGGCACCGGCGGCCAGCTGCTGAAGGGCCTCAAGGAGCTGATGCTGCGCCTGCCCGATCTGCACACGCTGAAGCTCGTCGACTTTGTGCTGGAGCGCTTCGAGGCGAACCATTTGCTGGACGAGGTCGTCTGCAGCTGCTGCACCAAAATGCGCGTGCTCAACCTGGTGAATGTGACGACAATGCATTGCCCCATCATGCACGTGGGCCTGTTTCTCAACTTGCGCGAGCTCACGATATCGCCGCAGAACATCGACGACGACGTCTTGTCCCTGTTGGCGGACACCAAGCTGCGGCACTTGCACCTGCTGCAAAATTGCTATACGCCCAACCATTTGAGTATCAGCGCCTGCGGCGTCAAGGCCTGGCGCAGCCTGAAGGCCACGAATCCGCGGCTCAGGGTTCATCTGCGCGTCGAGAACATGGTGGACGGCGATGTGGTGCTGCAGCCGGAGGCGCCGGTGCACAGCATCACCTATTGGGCACCACAGGCGCGCATCCGCACCGAGCTGCTGCTCCGCATGGTGGATCACTACAAGAATACCTTGGCGGTCTACGGCCACGAGCTCCTGCCACGCTTCAGCAGCCCGAAACCCTTCGACAGTCGCGTCGACAGCGTGCTCTTGCTGATGTGCAGGCAGTGCTTCAATCTGGATACACTGGTATTTATACATATTCATTCTATATATGTATATATTGTACTATATTTACTAGCTGAGAGGTTGGGTATGTGGGCACTTTGAAATTGCGGTTTTACTTGGTTTTATTTCTTTATATGATTGATTAGTAGATACGATATGATTCATTATAATTTTTGTATATTTAAGCAGGCTTTCAATTTAAATTTGTAAACATTTTAGATTTATTTTAATTTATATAGATGAAATATATAGATCACAATCAAATGCATAGACATACCCACGGACGGACAGACGGATATGAATGAACATGCCTTCATAGCTAATAGTGTTGCTCAAGAGAATACATATACGTATATATGATATGTTATAAAGAAAAATATTATAAAGATGGGCAGTGAGACAGAAAAACTACAGGCACTTAGATCAAGGAGTAGAGGAACTGCGGGGCTGGCAAACAGATTTTAGACAAAAATGTATAAATACATATATGTGTAATGTGCAATTGCCTTTAAAACGAGCGAGCATGGGTAAAGCGGTCACAGGGAAAGCAAACTCTGGACGAACGGAAGATCAGAATGTTACGCGAACATAGCTTGATAGAGTAGGTGTTGAAGAACAAGCACGGAGAGATCCACATTTTCGCTCTTTCAATTCGAATTGAAGTTCTCATAAAAAATCATTTAATGCTAATTTAGTGACTGTTTCATAAATTACAATAAGTCTATTATATATCCAAGTGATATCCAAGAGTCTCCAGACAGTATTTTCAGTTGCAAAGTTCCGCAATAAGTTGAATTGTAGATAAACAGCCTAAAATTTAATAATAAAACCAAGTACTGAAATAGCAGGGAGACAAAAAATGGAAAACTATAAGAAAATATGCGGAGAGTAGTTACTAATATTTTTTTTGTATTTATTCAATATAATCCATCAGATAATACAGAAATGAAATCAAGTAATCAACATAACTATAAGAATTTCAAGACTTGAGCTAATTTTAAGTACTTTATTAAGACTCCAAACGCTGTTATCCTTACTCGCATAGCAGACAAATTCTTATGACATTAAACTCAATATTAGCAAATCAAATTTCAGCTTCAATAACTGCCTTTAAAATTAAGAAACTACAAAGAGAGCTGGTTATGCCTCTTAGCTATAAAAAATATATGTGTATATACGTATGCACTTGTCATTTTGTCACATCTTTCACGCTCACTCTCTAACTCTCTTCCTCTCTTTCTCTCTGAACCAGGTCATACGCGAAAAGGTGTCCACGTCGACTTTGCTGCTGCTGGCACGCACCGCCAAGAATCTGCAGAGGCTGCACGTGCGGCGCTTCGCTGTCATCTTGCGGTGCGACTGGCCGCGGCACCCGGAGTGGAGCGACGAGTTCCACTTGTGGCTGAGGCGCAACTCGCGCTCCTATGAGGCGGTCGAACGCGAAATCTCACAGATCTTGGGCTACAAATGGAACTTGCTCAGCGATCGCGACTTCAAACAGCTGACGGTGAATGTTAGGGCGGGTGCGTAAAGCCACGCCCTCTCTCAAATGAGAGAAAAAAAAAAACAAAAACAAAGAAAAAAGAAGTAAAAAACGTGCAACTTGTGATAAACGGTGTAGAGCTTTATTAGCTGATAACAATTTGAGAAAAAAAAAACGAATAAAACAAATATTTACAAAATAAATTTGCAGACTTTTTTTCTAGTCTACGGGGAAAAACATAGAAGAGTTGCTAATTTTTGTAGAAATTGATTTTTGCACATTCATCGTCAATCTAAGCTTGACATACTTATAAGAGAGCTGTCAGCATTTGACTGCGCTCAGTTTACATTAGCAGCTCGACGAAATATGAAAGTCTTGGCAATTATTTTCACAGTTTTAGGCCTTTTGATGGCCCCGTTGGAAGCGACGCCAATTATCAGCATTGACCTGCCTGTGCCCATAGCGATTTCTACGCCGTACTATGGATATTCGTCGCCGTATTACTATAGTCGTCCTTACCATCATCACCACCATCACCATCATTCATCGCCCTATAGCAGCTATCACCATTATTCGCCGTACTATGACACCTTCCCAGGAAACTATTGGTGAATCGCTTAGCCCGAGCAAAAGCTGTCAAAACTAGTCGAAATAAATTTGCAAAATTTGATTTAATTTATTTTAAGAACAGTGAATTGCGTTTTATTCGTGTCTTTAAATTCGAGCTATTTATGTGTGTGTTTGGATGTGTGTGTACAAATTGTCTGAAGAATTGGCGTAAAAAGGTTGAAAATAAACAACATGAACAAAACAAAATAAACAAATACGTTTATGGCTGAACATTGCTTGTTGATACTCAAACTTATAATATATTAATAACATATAGTCAAATGGATTTATATATTATAATTGATTAGCCCACGTAAATCTGAAATTTACTTCTAGTTGATATTTAAATTTGTGCATATATAAATAGATCAATAATATATTATTGTAATATATATTAACATATAAGAAAATTGATTATATTCATGTAAGTCTGAAACCTGCCTAGATTTGATACTGTAAGTTGTCTATATATAATAGATAAACTCATATTATCGGATGAATATAATCAGTTACAACAAATAAGTAAAGTTCATATTTCAACTTATGAATATGATTTACAGTAATTATTTTACACATTGTGATTAAGCTTAGCGTAAGACTAAAATCTTTTGAGCATATGTCAAATCAGCTCTCGATCTCGATCTCTCTCAACCTTTAAGAACTCAATTTCTCCGAATAAACTCGTTAGATCTGCGAAACTACATCTATAAGCATAGTTTGCAACCATTTAAATGAGCTTTTGAAACTTGGCTGAGCTTTGCATAGGCCAAGCTTTTCGCATACGCAGCTCTGCTCGAGCTTTAGCACAGAAACGCAATGGGCGAGCCACGGACTGAACTTTTAGCACAAAAAGCTGACGCTCAGTAAGGCCCACGCCCACTTCGTTGCCGCAACGACCTTGAGAAGGCGGCAACAACAATCAATGCAGTCGCTTGCATTGCACTGGCAACATTCAATGTCAATGTCGTCCAAGCTTTTGCTTTTGCATACTCTCAGGCGGCACATTACGTATACGCCAGCAAGCCTACCAAATAACCAATTATATAGTGAAATAGAAAATATTTGAATAAATGAAAAGTATAGTGCTCTGCTCGCTGTGCTATTAAATGAGAGACTGAGCGATTTCTAATACGCTCACGAGCATCTTGCCGAAAGACAAAAGTCAAAAAAAGATTCCTCTTGGACGAGCAGAGCAAACTGTTGCTGTTTGTTTGGTAAGGCGCCCAGTTTCGTGGTTGACAGTGAAGGCGCCGCATGCCAAATTTTGATCATGACCGCGTAAAAAATAAATACAGCTATTTACACTAAATAAAAATATATGTGTATGTATATGTATGTATATATATGCACATGTATTTGAGTGGTGCCAAACCAAACAAACAATCAAAAAACGTCCGTTTCAATTAAATGAGTACAATAATTGTGTAATCCATCCACCTCGCAATGAATAAGACCATACTGCACTGGAGCTACTTGAACTTCAAAGATGTGCCCATGGACTTGTTCTTGTATGAGGACCTCGAGGAGGTCTACTTGAAAGAGAACTATATATCCGCAATACCCAAATGGCTGCTGAATATATCCACACTCAAGTTCATCCACTTGGCTGGCAACAACCTAAGCGAGCTGCCTGTGGACATATATATGCTGGAGAACCTAGAGTTCTTGGATGTGTCCAACAATGAGATCAGAGAGCTGCCCAAGACACTGGGGTTGCTGCTGCGCCTCCAACAGCTGAACGTCAGCGGCAATCAGCTGACCGAACTGCCTGTGGGTAAGCGAACCACGCCGCCTGGCCTTGACCGCGTTCACACTGTAGATGTCCACTGTCTTCCTCAGAGCTGAACACCTTGCGCAATTTGGAGCAACTGAATATAGCCAAAAATCAATTCCGTCGTTTGCCCATACAGCTGAGCGAATGCGTGCGCCTCAACGAGCTGAACGTGAGCGACAACGAGGCGCTGCTGCATCTGCCCGAGCGCATTGCGAATCTCCCCATGCTGCAATCCCTCCACGCCGATCGTAAATATATAGTAGAAATAATGAGTGATACACTTCTACTCTCTTCTCTCTCTCTCTCTCTCTCTCTCTCTCTCTCTCTCTCTCTCTCTCTCTCTCTCTCCTTATTTTTCTGTTGCAGGCTGTGCTCTTATTTATCTGCCGGCAGCGCTCTCCAAGTTCATGAACCATGTGCGCATCTTTCACAACACCTCTGTCAACTATATACCCATGATCTACGAGCGTTTCTATCAGAATTTCTACGATAACAGACAGAAAGTGACGCCCATGTGAGTGCAATCAATAAATATTATGTTAATATTAAGTTATCTTATGACTGACACTACTTTAAAAATATTTTTATATTAGTTCTTGAATCAAATTAGAATTTAATTTACTATCAATCCAATGCATATACTATATTATTGGCGTTAATTAATTATATTATCATATGTTCTATTAAGTTAAAATCGATTTTGTATGAAGGCTTTCAATTGGGAAGAATTGGAAAAATATTGCTAATTTATTTTATAAAATTTCATATTTTGCTGCACTTTGATAACTAAAGTATGACGATAATATTAAAAATCAAAATATAATATTATACTAAATATTTGAGTCCTGAATTGAAATCTTTAATAAATTTAATATATATATGTTTTATATTTGATATACATATTTTAGCGCATATTTTGTGGAATTTTATAATGCCAATTAAATTTTCCGTTTCTTCTTTACAGCCCCATCGGAAAGAAAGGATTTTTCTGGGTACGGGAATTGGAGACAAATAAGCTTCTGCTGCTCCCAGTGGGCACACGCAAGATTTATGCCGTGCCCTCGGCGGAGAATCAGGTCACGCTCTATGATGATTGCTTGCATGCGCTGCAGACGCTGAATCGGCACGTGCCTGTCTATGAGAATGCCGCACTGCATCGCCTGCTGCCCGAGCCGTATATGAGTGGCCACATCAACAATGGACCCATTGCTCGCTGCACCACCACCAACTGCTCCAGTTGCCTCTATACAACCTACTACTTTATGGTCGTCAAACGGTAAGCCCACCGCTGGCCGCCATTGTTCTTAAGAGATTCGTTTAGCGCTGTGCCAAAAACAAGATGAGATGAAACCGGTTTCAGTCTTAGAGATGTCGCGAATGGGATCCAATGAAACTTGCTTAAGTCAGAAATTCCTATTGTGTTTGATTTATGTGAGACAAAAATCTATCATGACATATTATAAAAGTGTTAAGGATAGTATAGCCTAGCTGTGGTTCGTAAGGGATTGCAAAGTTAAATGTATATTACTGATAGATTGTGGTGGATTCAAATCTTATTCGAGTGCAAATACCTAGAAGTTCTCCTCGTAGAGTTGACCTAAGCAACAGAATTTTCGAGTTTTAATCACTTACCTGCTTATCCGTTTGTTTCAACATCCTGATTTCCCCACTTTTATATATAAAAATTTCAATTCTTTTGTTTCTTTGCAGACGTGGCAGCGCCTCGAAGCAATTATTCACATGTAATTTTTGCACACAGTACTGCGCACTGCAATGGCTCTCGGGCAATATGAAGAAATATTATCAAGTCAACTGGAAAGTTTGCGACGGTGACGATCTCGATGATGATGAAGATAGTAATGGTGATAATGACAAGACAAGGCAGAGTTAAGTGGGCTGGCGTGATCTTCACGAGTGTTTGTCCAACAAATTAGCATTGCTTTAATTAGACCTTAGTTTTATAATTGTTATTCAAATGCCTAAGCTTTGATTGAGTGCTCATTAAAGTGTCTATCCCTAGCCAATGGGCAACCAGCGCCATATTATACCGTATTATCCATATTACTAGCCTACACATAGCTCTGCGTCAGGCCGCGTTCATGGACATGCACATAATCATCCAATACGCAGTGCACAGCTGTGGGAAATGCCTGGCGACAGTTGATGCCGTGCCTGCCCATGCTGTAGGCATCCAGATAATGTTCAGGCAGAGATCTGTGGGGCCTGAGCAGCATCGAGTTATACACATATTCTATGTTCATATGATTAGCGGCTCTTTGGCTACTCACATGAGCAATCGGTGCAGCAGCTGCGCATAGAGCCCATTGTGCTCGTGGACCTGTCCGTTCTCGCAAATCAGGCGCTGCAGGCAGGCCTGGCCATCTTGGCCACGTTGATTCATGTACTTCAAGGCGAGCTCGTATAGAAACTGTTGAGCTGCATCCACTTGGGTGGGCTGCGAGGCCTTCTGCTGCCGCAGCTGCTCTTTGGTTAATTTAAGGGGACCCTTAAGGTAACTGTGATCTCTGTGATCTCTGCGACCTTTGTCATGACTCCATAGCCTCCACCAGTAGACAGGAGAAGTTGGCTCTGGGAATTGATAGTGAAAGTTCATCAGGCAGACCAGCTGACGCCAGGCGTGCTTTTCGCCCAAGTCCACGGGAAATGCGATGCCGGTTACCAGCTGCAAAGTGTCAAAGGTCAAACGAACTCCTTCGCTGCGTAAGTATGGCAAATGGGAGTACCTTTATAATGCCACCGTCCTCGTAGATCAGGAAACGCTTCTGTCTGCGATGCTGTCGCCAAGTGGTCAAATTAGCATCCATTGCCTGCACAGCGTCCAGCACCAGCAGCAATGTTAAGAGCAAGCCCCTAAAGTACAGGGTAAAGTAAACTAGTTAATTTGAATTGACTAATTCAAGTATGGAAATATGTATACTAAACGCACATTATGTTCATTTTGTGCGCTCGTCTCGTGCTCTCCGGTCGAGCGTTAGGCCGTTTATGTTTCTACGCTTTCGATTGCATCTCTGAAGACCTGTTCCCGTGACGATCTCGAGTGCGAGGTGTGAGAAAAGTTCACGTGCTTTGGCGGGTTTCCTACTTTTACCTGTCGTCTCAATTAGCACGTCTACGCATTGACTGGTGCTATACGCACTGTTAAAGTAACGGAAAATCCATAAGACTTAACGGTTTAGCCAAGTAATTAACATTTCGACCTTGCCTTGAACAACTACAAGCAAAATAATTAAACTTGAGGCCCAAGATGCATTCTCATTTGTTCCCAATGCAACTCAAAAGATATGGAACGATAAATACAATGGAATGAATTCGGATGGGGGTTAGTAGACAGGGTCTAAATATATGTGAATTGAAAGACCCTTAGGCCTATGCTCTATTCTACAGGCTAAAAGTTTTCAAGACAAATTCCATTAGACTTTTAATTTAATAAATTTTGTTACAGAATTATAGTATATAAGGAATATATTTCAATTAAAACCCAATAAAATGACTATATAGTTGAACAAATAACAAATGATTATGCATATAAGATTATAATTATTATGCAATCAGCTTAAAAGATGTAAAAGACAATTACCATGAAGTTCCTATAGAGAGAATATGTACAAAATTGGTTGATGAGAAAGAATTTATATTGGTATACGGTAAGATAAGAAGAAGAATATAAAATGATCTATGCCCACATCTCTATTATGCTAAACTCTCCATTTAACTCCAAGAAGGAATCAAGAGTACTTTAGCAGGGATTTTTTTACTACGATGTAACTTACCCCTAATCCTCCTTTTTTGCATATAAGGGAAGGTGGCCGGGTATTCAAAATCCAATTGTATAGCATCAAATGGTATATTTCGAACTGTTGTTCTTTACAAATGAACTCAACTCTTCGTCTCGCTCAAGTATGTATTTATGTACTTTACCTACTACATACATTCCCACTATTTTACTATTATACCCTAATTTCCCACTATCGTTTCTTTCACTACGTTTTCCCAGCAGAATGTTTCGTGCAACATAAATCCTTTCACCCAACTGCAGATATAATCAAATGGAACTCCCTGACTACGCGCGTTGCTGCAACCAGTTGCTGCCTCAGCTGCTGCCATGGCATTCGATGGCATTGCCATAGAGCTGTTTGTTCCATTTATTAGAGAGACAGTCAGCCAGTCAAGAAGAAAATGTCGAAACAGTTGGGCAGCTGAACTTGGACTTCTAAGAAATACGGCAACAAAGTTTGGCAAACCCAAAAAGAACTAAAATTTAAATCAAAATTTATATTCAAATTTATAAATTCAAAGGTGTTGGCAAAAATTGAGAATGATCCGTTTGCCTGGAATGCCAATGCTGCCAGGTGCGCAGTTCTACGATGTGAGTAGTCAACTGGTTTCATGCATACACACACACACACATACCAAGTGATATACCCACCACTCGCCCACCTCTCTCACCTTCCTCTCTTGCTAGTATACCAAACGCCGTCATCCGCGTCGCCAGACCTTGATGCACTACCAGGGCATACACATGCTCTCGGATCGGCGTGAACCGGAGCTGGTGGAGCCGAATGGACCACTAGTGGACCCCAAATGTCCCCCACCCAGCACAGAGCTGACTTTGATGAGTCCACCCAGAGTGACGACCAAGCTGCCGCCTTGGCTGGCCTACGATAAGCAGGTGCTGTGCTTCAATGCGTACTTCAAGGAGCCGCTCACCGAGATCTATCACGCGCCCTACCAGGTGCGCAAGGTGAAAATCTACTTCTACCTGGAGGACGGCACCATGCAAGTCACCGAGCCCAAGGTGGAGAACTCGGGCATACCGCAGGGCTGTCTCGTGCACCGACAGCGCATACCCAAAGGGCCGCCCAGCGAGCACGAGTTCATCTCCATATTCGATCTCAATGTGGACACCAATGTGCAGATCTTCGATCGGGTCTATCACATAACTGGCTGCGACATCTTCACGAGGCAGTTTCTTAGTCGCGCCGGCATCGCAGTGCCCGTCGCGCTGATGGAGCCCAAGTAGCCACACTAGAGCTGCCAATTTGAGCAGAGGTCAGCTAATTTCTCTTCATCTCTCTTGCAGTGATCCCACCACGGAGCTGCGAAAAAAGTCCGCCATCAGGCAAACGACTCGTCCAGCAACGAGCGCCTTGCCCAAGCGACATGCATTCGCCCAATTCCTGGAGTTCGATCGACGTGTGCTCAAGTTTCAGGGCTACTGGAACGATCGCTCCGAGTTCGGCGATGTCCGGCGGCTGGACGTATGTTACTATCTAGCCGATGATACCATAGACATTAAAGAGAAATTCCCACGCAACTCCGGCCGTGAGGGCACCAACACGTTTCTAAGGCGGGGCAAACTGCCCAAGGAGTTTACGGGCCTCTCGCTGCCGGGTCAGCAAACAGCGATCACATTGCTGAATGTCCTCGGCTCCAATATGCGCGACGTGCGCTACGTGGCAGATCCCCTAAACACGGGCCAGAAGCAGACTGTCTACTACACGGATCAGGATTTGCGAATCGGCGCCGTGCTGAATGTCTTTGGACGCGATGTGGTGCTCACCAGCTGCGATCAGTTCACCCAGCAATATTACAGAGAGAAGGTTGGCAGTGTTTCCTCAGTTATACTTCAAGATATATCCAGCTCAATGGCTCATATGAGAATTCTTTTCCCAGTACGGCATTCAAGACTTTACACCTCAGCCTCTGCCGGAATGCAACGATGAGCGCGTTCTGAATCAGGGCAAGATGCGCCGGCTGCCGCCTTATAATGGCTGGGGCAGCTATGAGGACTCGGAGGGCAACTGCATCACCGTGGAGCCAAAGCCGCCGCAGGCGGACTTTAGGAAGCTGATGAAGTACGACGGATGCATTCTGCGCTTTGGTGCCAAACTGATGTCCATCATACGGGAGAACTGCGAGCGCAGCTTTGTGATTAGCTATTTTCTAGCGGATGACACCATCCAGATCTATGAGGTGGCCCGGCGCAATTCCGGCTTCATGGGCGGAGAGTTTCTGAAGCGAGCGCGCGTGGAGCTGCCCGGACAGGAGAAGTTCAGCTCAAACAGACCGGAATACTATCGCGCTAGTGACTTCTACATCGGTGCCACGTTGAGCCTGAGGGATCACATCTTCCACATCAATTCAGCAGATGAGTTTACGCTGCTCTACATGGAACAGCATGCCAACGAGGTGAGCTATTTCCGTATGTGGCTTAACTCTTAATCCCATTTCCTGTCTTCCATTTTCAGTTTCCCGTTGCGGACATACGTGCGATTATGCAGAAGATCCGTGATGCAGTGCGTCCGAACTACAAACAGTTTGTGCTGCGCTGCCAGCCGAATGCTGATCTGCGCGAAGGCACCACCGTCAGCTTCGATACACTGAAGTCCACCCTGCTCGCGTTTCTCCCTAAGGAAATGCTGCGGAATCATGAGATTCTCACGGTGTGTCGCTACTTCTCGTCGGAGCAGATGCCGCCACCCAGCTGCGATCGCAATCATGTGCGCGCCGCTGCCCAACTGGAACTGAAACGTGCGCTGTGGAACAATGTGGATGAGATCAGGGAGCACTTGAGTCACATAAATCCCACCTGCAAGCCGTACCTAACGGAGGCGCAAGTGAGATCCACGCTGCGCGGCTGTCGCCTGCCGTTCAGCCTGGAGCTGGTGGAGGACATTCTGCAGGTACTGCACCGCAACGAGCAGGGCGAGATTGAGATGCGTGATGTGCTCTCGTTCTTCAACATGGCTGCCGACCAGGTGCCCGACATAGCACCCATCAACATAGCCTTCGAGCTGTGTCCAAAACTGCCCTTTCTACACAAGGGGCGCTTGGTGGACTTCAATTGGTTCTTGCAGTATCTGGGATTGGAGGACGAGATGGTGCGTGACAATCGTTGAGATTGATCACCATTAAATTCAACGAGCCTTCAAGACGACCAACTGCGTCAAGTCGAAAATCTATAAGCTATACTTCGATAATATATAATTATAATTTTTCGATTTATAGTACAATCTCTTGATAAGTGCTTAAATGTAATTTAACTCATTCAACACGAATCTTGAAATACATTTGCAAACATTTGAATACTCAAGATAATGCAATTGCTTCTATGGGTGCTACATGACAGTATTCATATTATATATAGTTTTTACCAGAAAAGTATATACACAAGAAGAACTCAATAAGTTTTTGCAAAAACTCGCATTGTTTTTAAATTAGCTATATTGTATGTAGGCCCGAACCGGATAAAATCGATAAATGTACTATATACTAACTAACTACTACAATTGAAACATTGCCTTTGAAATTCTACAATCGTTGGTTTTATAAAAATTGTTGCATGTTGTGTATATACAAAGAAAATATGGTGACAAATGCATATTGAAAGTAAAGAATTTGAAGGAATGCGCGGAACTTTATGCTTATAAACTAAGTTGTAAACGTTGCTGCTTATAAAAACCATAAACAACCACACACATACATATATACGGCTTAATCAGTGTGCGTTGTTTTATAGTTTGGACTCTGTGAGCCAGTTGAACGATTGTGGCTTGCGATCAGAGGAGGGACTGATAGCCACATTTATGATGGTGGGCCTATCCGTCAGCTGATTGGCCGCCTTTACGGCCGCCTGCAGCTCCTCGATCTCAGTGCAGAAATAGCCCTTCATGCCAAACATTTTCATCATCTCCTCGTAGCGCACTTGCACGCCCAGCGCCGATGGCGGTGTGCTAGAATCAAAAGTAAACATGATAAGATTAGCTGCGAGTTATTTAACGGAAGATAAGATGCGAATCTTACATTTTCGCCAAGTCGCCCTCACTGCGTATTGCCTCAAAGGTGTCCTTGTCGAACCCGCCGTAAATGCCATTGTTGTTCACAATCACAATGGTAATGGGCAGCTTGTAGCGCACCATTGTCTCGATTTCCATGCCCGAGAAACCAAAGGCACTATCACCCTCCACGCAGAGGACACGCTTGCCCGGCGCAAAGTCCCGGCAATAGAGAGCGGCGGCGATCGCAAAACCGGGCCCGACTCCCATGGTGCCAAAGGTGCCAGCATCGAGGCGATGACGCGGCTGCTCGTTGAGCAACATCGAACGACCAATATCCATCGTATTGGCGCCCTCACTAACAATAATTGTATCACGTGGCAGCAGCTCGCGCAGATGATGGAAGACCGCATAGTAGTTCAGTGGCGTCGTTGTATTCAGCGACATCTGCGCAACTGTATCGCGATTCTGCTTGCACTTGGCCACCAGCTGTTTCCACCAATCCTGTTCGTAGCCAAAGCGGAAGTTCACCGCGTTCATTTGCTCGAACAGCTGCTCCGCAAAGGGGCGAATGTCCGACTGGACGGCCACCGATGCTACCACCGAGTTGTTCAGCTCCTCGGGGCAGATGTCTACCTGTATGAATTTCACATCCCTGTCGTAGCGTGGCGGGCGACCAAAGTGCAGAATCCAATTGAGCCGAGCGCCCAGCAGTAATATCACATCCGCTTTTTGAAGCGCCAAGGTGCGGGCCGAGGCGACGCACTGAGCAGCCGTGTCAGAGACCACACCTTTACCCATGGGCGTGGGTAGGAACGGTAGGTTTGTGTTCTCAATGAAATGACGCAAAGTGTTCTCCGCATGAGCGTAAGCGGCGCCCTTGCCAATGATCACCAGTGGACGCTTCGCCGTACGCAGCAACCTCGCGGCGCGTATGACATCATCATGTGGTGGATAGGCGAGTGGCGCCACGGGATGTGCAACAGATTTGTAAATCGTCGATTCAATCGCCTTCGATTGCAGTATATTGCCGGGGAAATCCAAATAGGCCACACCTGGACGACCATAGGTGGCATATCGCACAGCCTTCTCAACGTGTAGCGGAATCAATGCAGCATTGGCAGGACGTGCTGCATATTTACAATAGGGACGCGACAGTTCTACCTGAGGGCACTCCTGGAAGCCGCCAATACCCTCGTGATCCTGATTCGTGGCACCTCCAATCACAATCAAAGGCCAGCAATTTACTTGAGCATTGGCCATGCCACCTAGAAACGAAAAATAGTTTGACTATATAATTCAATGCGATGCATTTGCACTCTTACCCGTCACGTGCAGCAGACCAGGTCCAGAGACAACCAGACAGACGCCCGGCTTCCCCGTCAGATAGCCAATGGCCTGAGCTGCATAACAGGCGGCCTGCTCATTGCGCATGCCAATGTACTTCAGGCCAGCCGCCTGGAAGGCCATCGACAGCTCAATAACTGGAATTCCAATGATGCCGAACACATATTCCACGCCCTGCAATGCCCAGACAGATCATATTTGCATTAAAAATTAGTATATGTGTAGTATATAAAATTATTTAAATCGGACTAAGTTTGGGCTTAAAAATGTGGATTGAATGTGCAAATATTGTCAGATGTTTCTATGGGCACTATATAATTAGACAATAAAGATTACGATGCAGCAGCTGATCAAATATATATATATGTATATCCGAGCTGTAAACTATTAAAAATAAATTATTTTTTACTTTATAAATTTCATTTTAAATTTTTTAGTTTTTTTAGAGGCTTAAAGTTCAATAGGGCGAGTAAAATTCGTATAATAGTTTCCTTTAAAATCTCTTTCAAGCTGTTTATTGATTTTAATCAGCTGCTTAACTCGTGTGATTTACAGCTTACAGACTTTGGGGGGCAAGTATTCAAAACCTTTGGAACACTTTGCAGTTCATATCAAGATTCGCTCCGTATCTATATCACCAAATAGAACCACCGGCTAGCAACAACAACAATTTCGACAACAAAAACAATATACACACATACTCAAAAACATGCAATAACATTGCTTGGCCACTTTTTGAGTGCTTTTTGAACTTTGCACAACAGAAAAATTGGATAGATAAGCGGTTTGGCCCTGATGCCGTTAATTCTACAGTTGAACGCACTGCGCGTTCTCTTACCCCTCTCTCACACGAAGAGTTTTTATGCAAAAACTGCATATCATATAGGAGACAAAAGACAAAGATGGTGTGACAGACAGAGTGGTGCACTTGGCTTACCTGTTGCTTCAAAGATTCCGCAATTATTTGTACAGCTTCGACTTCGGCCATTTTGACGTTGTGTATTGTGCTAAATGTGTAAAGTAATGTGCGCTGTTGCGTTTATACTGCGCTTATAAATAAATAAAGTTAACTTACTAAAAGCAGAGTTGCCTTTCGCGTATGCACACAAATACAGTAACAGGCGAGTGAATGTAGCGACAAGAACTTTACAGTTTGCTGAACTGCTATGAGCGGCTGCCAGCCTGCCAGTCAACAGCAGTGTTAATGTTATCTTAAGTACTTTACTCAAAATGGTACTGTTACTGGTAATGGTATTGCAACAATACATAATATAACCGAAAGTCGATAAAAGAGCGCGCCGATAATTTTATTCAAAACTTATTATAGAAATAGAAACATACATTTTTTAAAGGATTGATGCACAAAAAACGACCTTCATTTTTTAATTTATAGAACAATTATGGCCTGTGTATTTATTCTTACACACTTTTTTATATTTATATTTTACAATATATACATATGTATACACAATATATACATATATGTATATTTTAGAAAGCCCTTTTGTCATCATTGCCTCATATGTGTACGGCCGTGATGAAATTTTATTAAAACTCCATTTATCAACAACACAAATCAGCAACGTAAAAAGCGAAGCTTCCAGTTGTGCATTTTGATTAACATTTAACTAATTGTTGTGTCAATTTGGGGTTTTTTGCTTGAATGCGCAAAAATTAACGTTTGCAGAGACCGCAACCAGTCGCATTGCTTCCCCTCCAAAAACAAAACAAAACAAAAATAAAAATAAAATACAAAAAAAGAAGCTAAATGTTAAGGCCGTTAACAATTTGACGTTTTATATGTTTATGCCGACAGGTTTCAATATCTCTAGTAAACGTGAGTATTACACAAAGTGGGTGTCAAGATTTTGATGGGAAAAGTTGGACAATCGAATGTCTATTTTTATGCAGTAATTACTTTAAACTTGAGGTAATTACCTAATATATTTTCAATCGAGCGAATTAAAATAAAAGCAATTAGGGTTCAAAGTAATAAATACCAGCATTAAGTTTAATAGGATTTGCTATTAGTGCACCCCTCAAAGGTGCACATTAACTTATAAATACAAACGTACATACGACATAATATGGCATATATACACATAGATTACTACGAAATCACAGCAGATTGCCAAGGCACAAACTACAACTTTGTGTTGACAACATCCTCCTTAGGCTCGGTGGTCTGCACCTCATTCCATTTTTGTATCTTCCCCGAGCCGAACACCCAGAAAAATAGGGCAGGCAAAATGTAGGCAGCGGCGCCAATCATAAATATCCAGAACCATTCATCGATGGTGTTCTACAAAAATCGAAAGATTAATTAGACAAAAATCCAGTTAGCTTAAGATGAGTCTCACCTTCTCTTCAGTAAACGCGGCCACGATCAGTGGCGAGAAGATGCCCGGCGTGGTGCCCAGGCAATTGATGATGCCGTACATGGTGCCCGCAAAGTTGGGCGCCAGATCCTGCGAGTTGGCCAAATTGGTGGAGGTCGCAGCGCCATTGAAGCCCAGCGATATGGTCATTATAGCCACACACACGTAAGGATCGCGACCGCAGAATGCCAATATGATGAGCATAATTCCGGGCATGATGTGAGCTGCAAGCCAAAGACAAAAGAGGTTTAATAGTCATATTGGAGACAGGTTGGCCTTTGACTTACAAGGCACGCAGAAGACTTTGCGAGTGAACGTCAGAGTCCACCAGCCCTTGTTTCGAATCCAATCCGCAACGGAACCGAAAGCAAACGCAGCCAGCAGACGCGCAATGTGCGGCAAGCTGGACAGGAAGCCAGCCGAGGAGAGATTGAAGCCAAGCACCTCGCTTAAGAACTTGGGCGTGGCTGTGATCAGGAAGAAGAGACCCCACATGCTGCCATAGTGCAGCAGAGTCAACGCCCAGAAAGGCATCGAGACGATGAGCTGCCTATATGGAGGCCATTTCTAGATGAACAAGAAGTTGAAGGAGAAGCATTAAGCTCGATGGTAATCCATGTTAAGTGTTCTCGATACTTACCGCCTTTTTGCTTAGAGTGCCGCCCAGGCTGTTCTCAATATACTCCCGCTCCTTGATGCTGATGCTGCTATGCTGGGCGGGCGTGTCGCTCACCAGGTAGAACCACAAGCCCACTATGACGACCACAAAGGCAGCGACCACATAGAAGGCCCACACCCAGCCCAGACCCTCGATGATGAGGCCGCACAGGGGCCACGTGATGACCGTACCGAATGTGCCGCCCATCAGCGAGGCCACGAACTTTCCCTTCTCATCAGGCGGCGACCACTTCGAGACCAAATTGTGACAGCACGGATAGACCACGCCCGAGACGAGGCCAATTAGAAAGCGCAGAGCGAACACGGCGTACTTGTCCCAGGAGGCGGCCAAGGGTGTCAGAGCGGTTAGCAAAGCGCCCAGCAGGCAACTGTACCCAGCCACATTGCGACCGCCGAGCATCTCGGCCAGCGTGCCGCCCGGCAACGAGGTGATCATGTAGCCATAGAAATAGCCACCCAGCAGGAGGGCCTGGTCCTGCTGCGTCCAGTCGTAGCGCACGCCATACTATAGCAAGGAGATGGATAATTATAATAAACATATTTACGATATATTGTCCACTACTCACATCTGGCTGCTCCACGAGTGTTCCATTCTCATCTCGCTCCGTTACCATGGCGATGATATTGATCGACAGATTCACACGCATCATATAATTGATGAGGCACATCATGAACAACATTATGGCCACAATCACGCGCTTCGGCACATAAACTGTCAAATAATAACAAATATTTGAGTATATAAATAATGCTCAATTGCTATACTCATTTTTCTAGTGAATGGGTGATGTTGGCTCTCTATTTATATCTAGCAGGATCTACAACTTTTCTAGCTTTAAAGACAAAGTCCTTTGTACTTTTCCGTGTCCTAGTTTTATTTTAATAATCAAAAACATTTAGTTGTAAATTTTGTAGTTTGTATAGTTATAGTTATATAATACGATGGAAAATATAATCAATAAAATATTCTTTTATTTATTTAAAATTAATTTGTGTATATTTTATTAGAGATTCAAGAAGAACCCACAGAAGAAATACATAGATTTATTTATTGTTAGCTCTAGAAAAATCTACAATTGTTGATGAACTTTCCCTCAAAAGTAGGTAGCAAATATCTTCACATTCGAGAGTTTCAGAAGAAAAAATAAATACAAATTCAAACACTTTTTGAGCGGGTATTGGGCAGTCGAAAGTGCCGCAGGTGCTTTCATTGGTTCTTGTTTATTTTGCTACATATGAATATTTCTATATTTATTTTTGTATTTATTTATACATCACCACAATTTGACATGAGCATTAGAGCAATTAGCGGTATATCCCCGGTAGGGGATAATGAACGCGCATGCGCCACGCTCAATATTGAAGCGATTCATTATGCCAACAGCTCAGATCATTTTTTGCACGTGAAACTTATTTTGGATTGCATATGTGTGTTATTGTATGTGTGTGTGTGTGTGTGTGTGTATTTGCATATGTATTTACTTACAGAAGGGAATAACAGCCATTTTGCCGGATTATTGTTGCCTTTATTGCTGTGCCACCCGTCAATATCAACTGAAAGGTGATAAGAAGAAGCAGTTAAACACTTTATTATTTTGCATTAAGCCTGGGGAAAGTCGTAATCAAATTGCTTTGAGTTTAAATAAGTGCCACAATTTAACGTGAAGCGAGAATGCGGATTTATTTATTTATTATTTTCGTCTTTCGGTTTTTTGTGTCATTTGAGTTCAGGTTTCCAAGCGGATATATCTTAAATGAATATTATATCAATTTAAGCAATACATATTCGATTTATTTAAATAAAGGGAAATCCCCTTCTATTTCTTTGTTTTCGTTGTTCATTATGCATAAGTCTAAAATTATAATAGTTTTCAGACTCTTGAAGCGTTATTTAAAATTTTGAGAAAACTATAACTTTAAGATCACAAAACGTGCCAACTGTAAAGCTTAACGAGCTTTACGTAACTTGAATGCCCCAGTCAAGTTTTTATAGGCCAATTAACGGCCGATCTGGCTAAATGAGTTCTACAGATTAATCTTAGTGAATTCTTCACGATTAATTGACCATTGAAATGTGGAACCCAGATTTAATAAGTTCCAATTTAAATTATAAATAATACCAGTGAATTTGAGATTTGATTTGATTTTGCGCGAACTAGGGAAACACCTGATCGACCTGCATTGCCAGTTTAGCTCTATTGTATCTTTCGAGCGGGCTTTTAAGCACAATTCGGCTAACACGTGCGCTCGAATACAGTTACCATATCTGTATTAGCGACATCAAAGAGATATGGGACTATAGTTAGTTGACAAACAGTTTAAGCACGTCTCAGCTACCATTTTAGCCAGGCACGTGAGCAGCATTCACGCCAAATTGAGTTATGAACATGACAAATCGCAATACCAAAAACTCGTCATTAACTTTTTAAAGTATTTTTGATTTAATTCTGATTTATGTGTATATATACTGCATATATACGACAGTTAGTGGCCTGTCATTGTGGCCATTGAAGCAGCCTGTTGATAAGGTAATTGCTCCCAAGCACGCCACACTAAATATTTTTGTAAAGTAATTCCGGTACAAAATTGTTCAGATGCAATCCTAAAATACAAAAAAAAAAAAAAACTAAATAAATAGAGAAACATCTAGAATTGCATTCGCAAATCCAAAAATACTTGACCAGAGTGTTTGTGAATATAATGACGCCCTTGGCACGTCGAATTCGTATATCGGATACGACTTGGACAGCTGTTTGAAAGCCATTCACAATATTGCACATGCAGTTCGCCAATTGGCATTTAGCCTCGTCTAATTTACGTGTGTAAATATTAGTTAGACAGGGTTAAGTACGACAGTATGCCAGGCACACACACACACACTCGTCTGGTAATAAAATTTAAAACACTTTAATTAAATTTGAGAAATAATCATAAATTTCAATTAGCAGCTCTCAAAATCTGATGTATTTCCACAGCTCATATTCAAGGCTGTTCATCTGAGTGGGAAATTTACGATGAGCCATCCTTTACCCTTACGTAACTCACATGACATACATTCATAGCAACTCGAGAGGCATTAATTGCAAAAATTAAAGAAATCTCAGCTAACGAAAAAAGTAAATTTACTAGCGGCCTGCCCACATCAAGAGTCGTCTGATAGATAGGAGCTGCTCTGTAAATCATTCAAAATCTCGGCGTTGCCCGACTAACCAATACCTTAAGCCAAGGATGCACGGTGTTAGGGGAAACATTTGAGCCGGCAGCTATGCCCACAAGTCTTTATTGAATCACATTTTATGCTGTGTTTGTATGTTATCAAATTACTGTGATAATAACCATGAAATTTCCCTGGTCCTTTATAAGGCATTATAAAATGCGCATACGTACGCACAATCATAGAGACATAAATTTATTATAATAGTCAATTGATCGGAGTCCACGATTCAAGTTTTTACGATATGCAATGAAATTTCGAATAATCAAAGCTTAAAATGAATATCTAACGAACTTATGAACAGTAGGAAAACTATTAGAAATATTTTAGTTTATATTGACGAAAAAGGGAGAATAATAGACTTTACTTCATATCTTATACATACAAATTATAAAAAGCTTAACATATAGCAATACTATACTAAACTATATAATCTTACCAATTACTATTCATTGGAATACTACTGTTATTTTACCCACTATCGATACGCGATTACCCCTGCCCGAACCCATATTACCAAGAATTAAACAAATGGCTTTAGAGTAGCTCCATAAAAAAATATTTGAGTTTGTTTGCTGTGATAGGTAATCTTCTAGGTCTTGGACTTAGTCTAGGTTAAACCAAAATTCTCAATGAGCGAAATAAATCCAAAGCAAACAATAAAATTGTATTAAAATGGGCAAAAAACAATAAAGCACACAAATCGAAAGTTAAAGCAACTAGGCGAATAAAGTATATAGCCCCATAGCTCTATAATATTGGGTTATCATGCTACGGCAAAACCCACAGCTCAATAAAAAAATAAAAATATATATGTACATATATATAAACTACTTCACTGTTTTCTGGGTAGATGAACTTGATCGGAAGTTAAATATATGCAATTGTGACGTCTCAATGTATATTTTATAAATGAGCTATCAATAGACACTGGACGACGTGACGTGAATTAGCATTTGCGGAACTTTTATGTACATCCCAAAAGTAGAATTCGCATTAAAGATGTGCCATATTTAACTCTCATTTATTAAGCGAGTCTGAGCAAAACGTTGGCTTAATATGTGTATAAATTTAATTTGATTGGCTAATAAGCGAACTAGTTAAGTCACCTGATATCCTAAACGCCAAATTGGTGTGCAACAAAACATATTGTTATGAGCATGCGATGATTGCTTAAATGCCATTCAAATGTTTACTGTAATTTTTCTAAACAATCTTATATATAGTAATGTGAAACGTGATTAATGATATCTCCCCGAACGGGATTGCATAATATGAAATAGCAACCGTTTATTGATATAATACATAAACATTCATAATTAAAATAAAAACAGCACAGAAACACGATCTGGTCTGGAACATACCACGAGCTCCGTGCCAAGCTTCTGAATATCCAAATGTGTTTTATGCATACATATATGTGCTAGAGCACAACTTTCTCTGTTTTAAGCTTGATATTGATTAGGAGAGAATGCTAGAAATATCCATAATTATTTTATAAAAACAAAATCTCAGTCTTTGACAATGGAAATTCCTATAAATGGAAGGGTAAAACAGCTGAACTATGGGACAATTGAGACCGTCCAATCATGCTAATCAAAATATATATACTTAATAAGCTTGATCGTGTCTGCGTTCATATATGAATAATTTCTTTGTAAGCCAACAATGCTTAGAAGCACTTACCCTGATAAATCAGTTGTACAATCCTCTGACTCAGGCCTTAAAATAAATGTTCATACTACTGAGACTCCATTAGCTACTTAGGATCCAATTACAGCAGACAGGTAGCAGCCACAGAACTCACGCTTACTCAAGATCAACGCTAAATGCAATACCTCTCAAGCAAAATCCCTAATGGACTGTGACTATATAGTGCAATTCAGTTTGAGAATGTGGCTAATTACCTAATCGGGAGCGTGGCGCCTTATCAACATCATTTTTGCCTGGCTTTATAAAATCAGCTCCGAAATTTATGAGACTATATGGCGAGGGCAGAGCGAATAGAAAACAAATCGTCATTGTAAATTATACGATCGGGCATGGTCGCCTGATAACGGGGCCAGCCTAAATGGCACTCATTAAAGTTAGCTTAATCTTCAATTAGCTGTAAAGTAACAAAATAATATGGTTTCGGACCTACGCATGGACTGTGGAACAATATACGATATTTATTGGGCATATACTGATTTGATTTACCAGCAACGAAATCAAAAACTTGCAGCGGGAGTTGGGGCGACTCTGGTATCACGATATCAGCATTGGATCTTGGCCATAGAGCACAATTAAGCCGTTAGCTGTGCGATATACATAAACATATGTAATACCCTTATAACATTTTATGTATCCATAGCACGCATGCAGAAACCATTTACATAAGACATGAGCTCACAATTGACATGGTTTGGTAGTTTATATTTCTTTGTCTTTCTCCTGCTCTCCTTCTCTCCTTCTCTCTAGCTCCATATATCTCTTACTGTCTCTCTCTCTCTCTCTCTCTCTCTCTCTCTCTCTGCTCTGTTGTTAAACAAATCAGCATTAGTCTGTTTGTTTGGCTATCGAACACTGTTGTTTGTGTTTGTTTTTGTTTTTTCCTTTTTTCTGGCGTTTTCTGCAAACCAATTCAATGGCAATGAACCGTATCTCACATAAAATTAAAATATGTGTAATGTACCAGTTAGGTGTAGTTATTCTTGCTTTATTGTATTCGGAGCGCATCGAAAATGCGTATTCAGGGTATATGGGGTTTGCTGCAGTGTACGTAACACAAAGGTAAAAGAAGGTATGAGCGAAAATAATGATGGAGGTCTTGATGAGGATCTTGATGAGGATTTGGATATGCGTCTTGAAGAGAATCAACCGTAGGGGTCGATCTAGTCCTCAGAGTCTATGTATCTACATGTGTATATACCCCTCTGCATAAATAGTAGATCGCATTTTACGTTTGAGCTACATACACATGTATGCATGTATATTTAAACTTGATAAGGTCCAACAGTAGTGTCGATCAAATCCGATCTCTGAATTTTTTTAGGTTAGTATTTTACAGGGTCTATTTGAACCACAGTTTACCTTTACAGCTAATAAACTAAAAATATATATATTTCTCGTACTTTCCAGCTACCACAATATCCATTAAAGTCCTACACACCTCTCCAGATTGTGGGTCTCTCCTACAAGTGCCACCGAATTGGGAAACAAATCTGATTTTTGAAGTTAGAAAGTTGCGCCCATACATATTTGGATGGCCAATTGATGAACGAAACAGTCAACAGCGAAGTTATTCAATAACGTATTTCACTTAAGGCGAGAGAAGAAGAAGCACAGCGTAGGCGTAAAGTGCGAAACGAACAAAACCCAGCAAGTACATACATACATACATATGTATATTTGTGGGAGTTTAAGCTAGAATGCGTGCAACAACAGCTTGATTCAGGGTATTTGCTTGTCTGGCACTCCCGATTGGGGCAATCGTATTTGATTTCATTTGATTTAATTTGATTTGAATGTAAATGTTACGTACTCTCAGACAACGGAATTGAATTTAACTCACTGCACTAATACCCATGGAATCACATTTTTGCACGTTATAATTAAATTTCGAAATTAAAAACACACACACACACACACACACACATACAATCCTATTTGCACAACCCACAATTACATGGTACACAAAATAAATTCGTAGCACTGTTTGAGCGAAGTAGTCAAAATAATTGATCATATAATTAGCAACTTGATTAATGCAAAATCAATGTGAACAAGTAAGAAAGCTCTAGTCGAGACTGCTCGACTACGAGATCCCCTGAACC